TGAACATATAACATAGTCAAATCTTGAGGTCATTAATCTCAAGACTTTTTCAATAATCACCACTTGTTTCATGTTTTTGCCATGAATTTTCATCTTGTTTGCAACGGTGAGAGTTCGAACAAAATATGCATCAACACTCTTGCCCTCTTTCATATGTAGGACATCAAACTCTTTTTCCTAAAAGCTTGGAGTTGTGCTCTTTTGACTCTTGTGGAACCTTGGTACTTCTGCTTCATAGAGTCCCGAATTTGTTTGACAGTATCTCTATTAAGGATCGTTTTCATAATAGTTCGATCAATGGCTTGGAACAAATAGTTCTTGACCTTCAAGTCTTTTAGCTTCTAGTCTGCAATTGTTTCTTGTTGTGATTCGGTAATCTCCACTCCTTCTATTGCATCAGGGATTCTAGTCTTCACCAAAGACCAATATTCCTTTGAGCGAAGAAATTTTTTCATAAGCATAGACCAATGATCATAATGGCCATCAAACTTAGGAATTTTCGGTTGAATCAAATTGGTTTCAGCTGCCATATTTGAATCTCTTTCAGCTTACTCTTCAAGAAAAAAACTACCGTTTCTTTTCTCACAATCAAGCCTTGCAAGGTAGGTCTTATACCAAATGTTGTAAACTAAAGAATACAAACTAACTCAAAATAAAACCCACAAATCAATTGGGTTGAAAAACTAATAACACAAAGATAAAAATAGCAAACTAGAAAAGTAAAAATTAACCACCCACTAAATTAGGTTACTAAGGTGTTAAGGATATTTAGTAATAAATTATAGTTTACCATATATATTATATTTGATATTTTATTATAAGGCAAATATCTAATATTTGTTTTATTATCATAGGTATCTTTCCATTTATTGTTATTTCCATTTATTACTATTTCCATATCCTTGTAATTCATTTGATTATTAATAAGATAACTTTCACACCATTTAGGTGTGGTGGATTAATCAAACATTCACATGGTATCAGAGCCCTCTCGGTTTAACAACCCCGATTCTTTCTTTTCAATGGCTTTTGAATCCTCTAATCTTCTTCTCCACCACCCCTGCTGGTTTTGACGCCGCAGGGGCAGTCTTCATGGCTGCCGTAGTCGAAGCCGATTGATTACTCTTCGGCTCCACCCTATTGACCTCCAAATCACCTTTCGTCATACTCTGTACATACAACCTCACCTTTTCCAACCCAATCGGTTTTCTCCCTTGGCCAATATAGTCTCTCTCATTTTCTTCCCAATCAACCTTCATCCTTCACATAAACNTTCGGAATCTGGGTGCCGCACTGGCCTATTCGCCAACTAAGTTGTCGCCGCCCTTCCTGCCAAAATTGGCTTCTTCGCCCGATGAGGCGACTCTTCCGACTGCCCTTCTCGCCAAAATTGGCTCCTTCGCCCAATGTGGCGACTCTTCGGCTTCAACATTGTCTTTGTCCCTTGCTCTAGGTTTCCCCTTCTACTTCTTGGGGTTAGAAATATTCTCACCAGAGCCAAGGCAGCATCGTCGCTAAGCGACAATCCCTCTTCATGGGTTAGACATATTCTCGCCGAAGTCAAGGCAGCATCGCCGCTGAGCGGGGATCCCTCTGCAATTTTTGATGGCCAAGAACCGGGTTGTTAGCATCTTCATGAAAAGTGTTTCTCAACCTCTTTGAATTTTTCAGATTCAAGCTTCACGTTCGTTTAAATCCGACGCTTAGCTTGCGGTGGGGTGTTAAGGATATTTAGTAATAAATTATAGTTTACCATATATATTATATTTGATATTTTATTATAAGGCAAATATCTAATATTTGTTTTATTATCATAGGTATCTTTCCATTTATTGTTATTTCCATTTATTACTATTTCCATATCCTTGTAATTCATTTGATTATTAATAAGATAACTTTCACACCATTTAGGTGTGGTGGATTAATCAAACATACAAACTAACTCAAAATAAAACCCACAAATCAATTGGGTTGAAAAACTAATAACACAAAGATAAAAATAGCAAACTAGAAAAGTAAAAATTAACCACCCACTAAATTAGGTTACTAAGGGAATGAACATCCAAAAAAAAAATGGTCTAAGCTAGTCATTTCAACCCTAAAGAAATGGTCTAGACGACCATCTTCAACATTAACTGCCACGATCTACACCGGAGGCAAGTGGAAAAGAGAAGATATTCTGAGAATCATCAAAAAAGATGGCGAAGAACGGGAGCACGCAAAACAAACAGAGGTAGAGAGAATTGGAAAATTTTCATAAAAATAGGTCAGGAAGAAGAAGCCCGCGGATTAAGTTGCGTTCGGTCCGAGTAGACTGCTGTTGTTGGATAGTATCCAACCACCCACGAAATCACACGGCCTACAATCACCTAGAACCCTGCCAAGAATCACTAAGCACCCAACTCAACCTATGCGAGTTAGAAAACTATTGCCCACAGACAAAAACATCAACCTCAACCCATTAACGACCCACGAACCTCGCACAAACTCGAGTTGCGACCCATGCTCCTTCTCTCTCCAACTCGAGTTGCGACCCGTCTCCTTCTCCCCCTGACTCGAGTCACAACCTAGGCTCCTTCTCTTGCTGACTCGACTTGCGACTCGTGCTCCTTCTCCTGCTGACTCACATGTGGTACGCATGTCCAAGCCACCCTCAGTATGCGGCTCGCACCTCAGTTCAGTGTCTTGTGCTATGCTATGTTGTACTATGTTGTGTTATGTCATGTTTATAAGCTATGCTATAGTATGACTATGCCATGTTGTAGTAACATGATATAATGTTGATAATCTATGATGCATAAACCTCCATGATCATGTCATGTAAGCTATGATTTGAGAGGAGCTAGGTAAGCATAATTCACAAACATGTGCTATAAACGAATGGAGATTTGACTTGCATCATAAATTTATGCCAAGATTTTAAGCTATGGAGACCTCATGTATTTTTATATTTTTATATGTCATATGCATTGAGATACTTCCCCATTATAATTAGTATGGACGCATACCTATGACATTTATGCTCGTCATGATGTTATGTGAGCTCTTTCCCTCTGAGGTGTCTAGTGTCACAACTATACTATGAAGAGAGTAAGTTGTGACTCTCACGTTGAGTCAAGCAAAGAGGTGACCCTCAAGAGGCACCATCCGGAAATGAGAGGGCAAATATAGAAGAATGTCATAATGCGACCAAGGAAGAAGTTGCATCATCCAACACTATATAATGTGTCCATTGAAGAGGAAACAAGGCATAAGCAACATATGGACAATGAATAGACATGGGCATCACAAATAAGATTGTTGAAAAGTCGGGTAGAGATTCGGGCCTTAAACCTTAAAAGTTGGGGCTCTCAAGGAAATTTGGGCGTGCAGTTCTTGAGTCAAGTCCGTCCATATTTATTATGAAACCTCGCCAAATTCAATGTCAATCAAACTCCGAGCGGATGCTCTACGACATCATATGTCCGTTCACCAAAATCATGTCTGCACCTACCCATTTGGAAATACCTCAAAATGTATTATAGAGGGAGGCATGGTATCAGCTCTCCTCCACCTTTAGACCCTATGACCTATGTGAGCTACCCTGTGGCACATGAGTGTGTCACAGTAAGGGTGAGCGTTCAGAGACAAGTGTCTCAGACGACTTCCTTTGAAATGAGTTTTTCAAGGACAATACTAGACAACATGGGTGTGTCGATATTGTGCCCCTACCCATGTGTCGAAGATTGAATTTTACATTTATTATCTGGTACGGTATCCGTAAATAGCATGGCATGCGCACGAGAGGGCCAATGCGTTTATAGAACCCAGATGGATAGATGTTAGGGATGTCTCGATGTTTGAGCAACACGTGGGGTCATTCTCGATGGGATGATTGAGTGAGCTGTGATGGCCAACGAGATCCCATGACTTGGGATGACATCAAGACATATGGACTATGCCAATTGGGAACCAAGATGACAAGATAGGATGCAACGTTGCATTGAGAGACCTTGGCCCCGAGTAGAGGCAAGGTCGAGCTGAATGACTTGGCCTAGTATAGTGACAAGTCAGTTATGTCGCAGACCATTGAAAATGCACGCACAGGTGGTGTATGTGGCCAAACAAGCTTGGATTCCGCACAAGTGAAGTTTGGTTAGTGAAGACAAATCTTGCCTAAGGTCGAACGAAACTAAAAAGTAGGGCGGAAAATGTGAATCGGGTTTGACTCCCCTTTGAGGCTTGTTGTGAACATGTCAAGATCACAATGGCGCAAAGTTGAAAAGTATGACCGTGACATCCAGCAGCCCATTAGTGAGTACCAGATCAACAGCTCAGACCTAAGGGGTACGCAAGCCCGATTGGTTGATTCATGTGTGCATGTGCGAGCTGTGTATAGAGAAGTACTACATATCTAACCCTGCCTAGACTAGAAGCCACGTTCTATTTTTTAGGTAAAGATAGAACACCCATATACGGATGACTACGTCGCGGTAAAGACCACATGACCAGAGTTATGGTAGTTTCATTTAAACAGTCCTTAGGCTAGTTCAAGGCTTTATTTATTTTATTTTATTTATAACATTTATTTTCCACCTCACTATTTACCACTATGTTATTTTAAGGTAGTTATTTTGAATTTTAAGTCCATAGCATCTTGTATGAAATATATTGAAGGGATGTTTTAGTGACGAACCTATTTTTAATAGGAAAATAGGGGTGCTACAAAACATTATATATAAGAAAAAAAAAATTATAAATGAGGAGTTGTATCTAGACCTCTCTAGTTAGAATACTACAATTTTAAGTCATTATTTTTAAATTTTGTAGTAGACCTTTAGGTTATTAGCACTGAGCCGAAAGTCCTATACTTATTATGCTGCATCTGGAACCCATAAGCTCTGGTTTTGAGCGGCCCATTCCAAGATCCAAGGCCCACTGGACTCCATGATACCCAGCAGAATGAAAGAGAACCCCAAAAAAATTGGAAAAAGAAAACCGAAAGAAGAGAATTGAAAATTTGGCCCATGAAGGTTTCGAACCTGCGACCTCCGTATTGTTAGTACGATGCTCTAACCAACTTTGCTAATAAGCCTCAATGTCATTATTCCAAATGTATCATATAACAAGAAATAACATGCAATGATACTTTTTTTAACGGATATCGATGTTCACTGAAGATGAAATCAATCCAATGGAAAACGTAACAGCGAGCGAATTGGCCGGCTTCGCTGTGGGGGCTCTGCTCGTTTGTGCCACCATTTCTGCCCCTCGGATAGATGCCTTCATCTCTTCTTCTCAGCGCAGGTCTGTTCTATTCTTCCCATTTTCACTTTTCAAACCTGATTTACATGATTTTCTTTTCTGGGTTCTTCTTCAATCCCCTAAATTCACCCAAATTTTGGTGGGTTCTGTGTGATAATTAGATGGTAGGAACCCAAATTGAACAGAACCCATGAATTTAATTCGTTCCACTTAGGAAGAAAGTTCACTTAGGTTTTTGGTTCGTTGTGTCTGTCTGTTGGGCACTGGTGGATTGTGTAGGCATTTGTATATAAGAAAGCTAAATTGGTTGCATCTACTATTTGTACTTTGAAAATACTCTTGTATCAAGATTATTTCAATGGGTAATTTGGATTGGTGTTGTTCATATCTGATAATTGTATTTTGAGTCACTTAGTTCTGTATGTAAAGGGGTTTTGAGTATAGAACTTGTTTGAGGATCTGGGGTTGAGTTTTTAGGATGAATGTGATTGTGTTATATGTTCTAACAGATCGTTGGGCATGTGCAAGAGATGTGGTGACCTGAGGATGATAGCATGTTCAAAATGTAAAGGAGTTGGATCAACCAAATCAGGTGGAGTATTTGCTGAGCTTTACGAATCATTTGGCAAAGACGAACCGAATGCGCCCTCTATCCCGTGCACGAGGTGCAATGCCAAAGGTCGCTTCCCATGTCCAGATTGCTGCTCTCAAATGCCATGAACTTCATTCTCATATAATGCTCCCATTATGTCACAATTTCACTCATCATTTTCTCTCCTCTGCTTTCTTTTCCCCTTCTTTTTACCAGTTTTGATGCATCTATGGTTGTCAAGATTTCTACTTTATTAAACACATTTTAGAGCTTTTTCCCTATTGGGTTTTGTGAAAAACACTTCCCTTTCATGCTTTTGTAAAGGTTAGCATGATATAAGAATCGTATTATTTGGGAAATTTTATTTCGATTCCTTTTCGACCAAATCGAAAGTTAAAGGTTCGAACCGATTCATGAACTCAAATATAAGGTAAAAGAGCCGAAAAATTAAGAATGGGATCCAGGTAAGGATGGCATAGTGATTAATTTCCTAATGAGGAGAAGATGAAAGAAAAAGTGGGAAACAAAATGAGAGTGATTTGCATATATTGCTGTAATTACAAGCAATTGATTGGTATCTTTGTTGCTTAATTTTGGGTCATTGTTTTGAAATTTTTCCATTTAAAACCCAATTAGTGAAGTTGAAGATTGGAATATTAGTTGAATTCAGATCTGTAAAGCTGATTATATGCGTCTTTGAATGGATATCTAAGAATGAGAAAGGACTAAGAATTTGTGATTGCCTTTAATACTCATTTGCTAATGCTCTGTTTATCCATATTAGTCCCTACAAACTTTGGTTTTTAGTTGGGGAGGTCTTTCCATTTTTATCATTTGTAATTTTCACATCACATTTGAATAAACATTGTGATTCTTACTTTATGATACATGTTTGTTTCAAAAATCACTTCAAACAAATTTCTTCTATACATTTAATAAATTACCATAAAGTCTAATAAGAAATTAATGATACTAGAGTGATAGATATTATTCGACTTTGGCTTGTATCCAAAAATTTTATTTTCTTAAGCTTAATTTTTTTGTACATTCTTTTTTTTTTTTTCTATGCATAAATTAGTGGGTATTTGTAGCCAACATAAATGTAATTATTATTAAGTTCAAGATTTAATGGGATGAAATGGCATGATTATGTTTAGAATTTAGATTTATTATGTTTAAATTAAAAAAAATAAATATTATTCTAGCCTAAGTCTAAAAATAAATAAATGTGACTACTCTATACATGTGTCATGGTCTCGAGTTGCGATGTTGTCGTTAGTCGTACATAGATGTTTTACTTCTACCTGAAATAGAAGTAGTACGTGGTTGTATTTCATGCGTATGTCGGAGTTGTACTTCATGTTAGTACGTCATTTTGCATGTCATTCACATCATATCAATCACATTTACGTACATATGTTATATCCTAACGTTTCCACAATTCCAGACAACAATTCTCATCATATACATATCATAACATAACATATCATAAAAATATCATTTTATCACATATATCGTACCATTTCAACCGTACATGAATTCTCGCGCGGTATTGGGCGACTACACAATTTTTTATTTTTTTATTTTTAATTCTTAACCGATATAAAGCCCTAATAATTATTTTATGAATGGATGTGATTAAAATTTTGAAGAAATAAGAAAGAAAAAAAAAAACCCATATTTGTGGTTGAAGATTCTCAAGTGAATTGAACAACTTCCACAAAACAATGTGAACATTTTGAAAGAAAATTGTGTTACTTTCTTCCAATCCCATGCACAATAGAAGAAGGATAGAAGGGAAAACAAAATTTCCTTTTTCCCACACCATTCAACTAACCCTTCCTAAAATTAATCTAAATTTCTCAAATCAAATTAATGAGAATCTCTTAAAATCTTTCAATATGGACAATAATGAGTTTTGTTTTAGAAAATTCATGGTTATTTGGTATCACTAAAAGTTGAGTAGTAAGATTTTCCAACCCTTATTAATTGGTATCCTCATTGAAGTTTTAATTAGATGACGGGTTCACGTCAAGGTGGTCCTCTCTCGACCTCTCAAATGTTCTAACTCGTCAACCATGCTTTTAAGATGAAAATAAATAAATGACTAAACGATAGTCAATAACACCTATTGGTAATCTCTTTCTTGTTTGCAATAAGCTTTTTCTTTCTCCAAATTAAGAAGTGATGGAAAGAGAAAAACAAAACACGTATTTATCATCGTATAGGTGAAGGTTCGAGATAAAAATGTAATTTCAGAAATGGGCAATCATGTTTATCTTGGAAACTTTGGTGGTGAAACCAAGAATATGAGTAAAAACCTTGAAGTTCCTAAGGTGGCCAAACAAGAAAGATAACATGAGTTACCTTTGGTCATAATTAGAAATAAAAAGGAGCTCATAAACTTTCTCAAGCTAGAGTGTGGAAGGTTGTCTAGGGTTGGAAGCACTTTTTTTTTTATCTTTAATTCGAGAAGGGAAGTGGGGAATCCTTGTAAAAAATGTTGTCCTACTTATTCCTATTTTTTCCTTGATTTTTTGTTCTTTTTTGAAGCATGCCATGGGTTGTCCTACACTTTCCAAAAAGTGTTGGCAACAATCCCTCATTATAATTATTCGTGATCTTTGGAGTAATGAAGGTAATTCTTGTAACATTCAGTTAAGAAGACGGATACATAACATCATATTCATTCAAGTGAAAGTGATCCTAGGGATAGAATGGATAAAAATGTTTAAAGGAAATGAAAGTTATTACCTATACCAACAAGGTGTACCTTTCTTTTTCGATGACCTGATCATAGGAACTCTAAAGTTAAGTGTGTTTTGTTTGGAGAAATTCTATGTTGGAGAACTCGTGAGACATTTCCTAAAAAGTAGGTGACTGAGGACAAAATGTCGTGAAAGTACTGTTAGGGATAGGATCCCATAACAATACACACTTGATCTAGATGAACACAAAGAAAAATAGGATATAGAAAATGCAAGAAGAACTATGGCTAAGTATTGATGACTTCAAGTATGTACAGTAGAGAGAATACCGATAATATACAAATTGCATGTTCAAAACTCTACCTAAATGGATATATATATATGGTTTAGCTTACTATATATAGTTTTACCAGATATAATCATTTACTATATATAACTATCTACCATATATAGCTTTATAACTTTTTATATAAATTATTTACTATTTTTTACAATTTACTTTATATGTCATTTACCAAATATAGTATAACGGTTGACTAAGCTATAAATAAACAGTGTTCCATCCCCTAACAATTCTACCACTTAGTGATGTAGTCAACCAAGAATTTCATTCTCAAACGAACATGAGCATTCATGGCAGCATACTAATTGAGGTTTTACACAACCTCAATATTCCAACATCAACACATTTTGTTAATATGTTTGTTGGATTCTTTGTACCCTCTTCTCAAAGCACATCACCATCTTCCACTAACTTGCAAGAGAAATGGTATCGCCTTCCGTGTTTTATCTTTAAATGATAGACCGAGTTCCTCACCAACTGTATGACACTCTGACAATCTCTATAAAGAATCTCTTCGTGCTTCTTCTTGCCCAATTCTTCCAGATAGTTAGTCATCCATATTGTCTCATTTCCAGCTTCAGCTATTGCCACGTACTCAACTTTAGTACAACTCATTTTTGAAGCCTAGACATCCCATCATCCATGACTTACTCCCACTTGGTTGTATCCTCCAACTGTAGGGCCTCATCAAAGGGCTCTAGTTTTCTTTCATCAGCAACAGATAGTGTAATGAAGGTACATATATATCTGGTACAATACATATATGGTACTCTGATAGTACTGGATGATCTTCTCAACACCGATTTAGGTGTCACTTGCCCTACCGTTGGTTCCTCTGCAACAGTCTCAGGAGTTTCTTGAGTATCTGCTACATCATCACTAGGTGATTTTTTTCGCAACTCAACCTCAACTTCCACTTGCTTTGTTGTCTTGGAACCTTGCTCCATATCTGGTTTCTTAGCAGTAGTCTCAGGAGTTTCATGAGTATCTGCTATAAGATCACTAGGCGAGTTTCCCTACAACTCAAGCTCAACTCCCACTTGCTTCGTGGTTTTCGAACCTTGCTCCATATTTGTATGGATCATTTCCAACCACACTTTCTTCAATTCTCTGTCAGTCCTTGTGAAGCTAACTCGTTTCTGCCTGCTCATAACGTAGTTCTCACACGACCCACATCAACAGATTTC